TATTTTAATTAATATTACTGTCTTGGCTACTAAATTACTGTCTCAAACAGTAATATTATTGTTTCGGACAGTAATATTATGAATATTATTTTCCCGAACAGTAATATTGTTAATATTATTGTCTAAGACAGATAAATTACTGTTGGAGACAGTAATTTAACAGCCAAGGCATTAATATTAATTAACATAACTTTTAACTTTTATTAAGAAAAAAATTTAAAAAATAAAAAAAATAAAATCAATTAACAGTAAAATTACTGTCTCCGATAGTTAAATAACTGCTGGAGACAATAATTTAGCAACAAATACAATAATATTAATTAAAAATATGTTTTTAAGAATAAAAAAGTCAATTAACAGTTAAATTACTGTCTCCGACAGTTAAATGACTGTTGGAGACAGTAATTTAGCAACGAGTACAGTAATATTAATTAAAAATATTTTTTTAAGAATAAAAAAAGACAATTAACAGTTAAATTACAGTTTCTGACAGTTAAATAACGGCTGGAGACAGTAATTTAGCAACGAATACAGTAATATTAATTAAAATATTTTTGAAGAAAAAAAAAAGTCAATTAACAGTTAAATTACTGTCTCCGGCATTTAAATAACTACCGCAGACACAGCGAAGACAGTAATATTAATTAAAATATTTTTTAAAAAAAACATAATTATAAAAAAAAGAAAAAAAAGAAGAAAAAAAAAAGTCAACGCCGGAGACCCCCGCGGTCAATGGCAGTTGACCGGCCGGAAAAAAATTCTGGAAAAAAAAATTCAAAAAAAAAAAAAGTCAACGCCGGAGGCCGGCGACCTCCGGTGGAAACGGGTCAAAATTGAAATTATGGTTAAAATTGGTTAATTGATGAAATTGGGCTAAATTGGGGTGTAAATCATGAAATTGGAGTTGAATTGAGTTTCAATAAATTGTGGGTAATTTTGGTATATATAAAGGGATATTCCTTATTTGCAAATAAGTTTGAATGTGCTGAATTTATTTGAAAAACAAAAAAGTTGGATGTCCTCTTTTAATTAAGTACCTTATCATGAGCCTATTTGCCATTTGCTCTAAAAAAATTTCCATCTACTCCACGTGTATATTTAGATCTCCGATTTATGTGGACAAGTACAATTGTTTCTTGTGCATATCACATCTCATGCGGCCATTTCTTATCTTGTGCATCTTTTTTCAAATTTATGTCAAGTTGAATATAATTTAATTAATTTGTTCTTTGTTTTTCCAAAGGAAAAAAAAAAATTGAGCTCGAGCAACTTGATATTTTTATATGTAACTACTTTTTTTTAGTAATCGAGTCTTACTCGAAAGCAAGTTTTTTAGGTGAAAAATGAACGTATACTTGTTTTTGTAACATTAGAAATTGATTTTCTGAATTGAATATCGTGCGGTTTATAAATTTGATTTTAGTATTTAAAGCAAACATAATATATAGTTTGGGGTTTGGAGGGTTTATTTGGCGAGATATATGTGGATATGGACCATATGGTTCGTGCAAAATTGCAAACTCGTGACTTAGAATACTGACTAAATATACATTCTCGTATAATAACTCGTAAAATATACGAGTGATGTAGACTACACTAGACTAATCTATGTGTAACAAGTTCGATCTACAGACTGTTGACAAAGGGATACAAAGATGGGTCAACCGACACAAACACACCTGCTCCGAGCGTTAGGCTACCGTGGCTTAGATTTCCCTTGAATAACTACCATGAAAAAATAGTTTGGAAATAAATTTATTAATAATATACTTATTGTATATATCCATTTTGGGATTATTCTATGAAAAATGGGGCACCATGGCAACTATTTTGGGCCACAATTAAATGTGTGCACACCCAACTTATAGTTTGGTGGACTTAATTATTTGTGGTCGGCTGATTCTTTTATTTGTGAAAGTTTAAAAATGATTCGTTATTTTGGTAGCAATTTTGTGGATGATGTAATCTGGCAATTTTGCAGTTATATTCATCTCAAGTGGTGATTATCTAAAGAGATTAGATCATAAGAATTATTAGGCTTTTATGGTACTTTAATTGTTAATGATTTTATTAATAAAACAAAGATATGTTACATACTTTTTATCGGAAAAATAAAATCGAATATGAACAGAAATCATAGCAGAAGTACCAAAGAAATTTGAAAAATAATTTATTGGGTAGAGTTGACTTTTCCTGTTATTTTTGCAAACGTCCCTAATTTTTTATAATTTATTGTTTAGATTAAATTATAATTATAACCAACTCTCACTTTCTATATGTGATGTGGTTTAATTCCACATCACATCTCGCAATTCATCTCTCGTATTCTTGATTCTTCGCGTGGGCAGTATTTGCATCACAAAACGTCATTAGAGTAGAGGGCCGGAGTTTGGGCATGACGAAAATCCTCCGACGCTCAAGTAAGCTCGGCATGATAGAAATATTCAGAAAATTCAAGAGAATGCTCGGGAACTACGAACTGCATACCTCTTAAGACTTAACATGAGTCGATTTGGATCTGACTATTTAGATTGTGGTCAACTTGAGCTTGTATTATTATCGTGAGTCAACTTGAGTTTAATTTATGTACCTCTATAGGTTTGTTTATATATATATATATATATATATATATATATATATATATATATATATATATATATATATATATATATATATATATATATATATATATATATATATATATATATATATATATATATATATATATATATATATATATATAAACTCCACATTAAAGTTGTTATGAAAAAACAAATTATTAATTTCTGTTTTTCTTTAAATCCGGGCCATGTCAGGATGGGCTTAAATTTAAACTGACAAATATATATATAAAAATGGGCTTAAATATATATTACAAATTATTTTTTGGTGGTCCAATATCAAGATGGGCTTAAATTCAAACTGACAAATATATATATGAAAATGGGCTTTCTGAAATCTAAATTTGGAACTTAACAAAACGTAGAAACTTTTCGATTATTTTATCCAAGTTCAAACAAAATTAAGTAATATGACTTAAATAACTACCAAAGTGATGCTCGTCGAACCTAAGGGTATAAATGAGCCGAGCCGACATGAGTTTAAACTCGAATTCGAATTTTTTGAGTTCGAGTTTTCTGACTAGTCGAGCCCAAGCTCATTTTTAGGTTCGTGAGTCTGCGAGCCGGTTTGCAAGCTTTTAGTTGTTCATGAGCTCGTGAACTCGTCAAAATGGATGCGAGCTCGAGTTCGAGCTCGCCAAAACAGCAAGATTCGGCTCGTTTATACCCCTAGTCGAACCTGTAGAAAAAAAATTGTTAATCTTTGATAAACGACTAGTTGCTTCTAATGTAAGTTTTCGATCGACAACCCGCCGGCTCGGTCCGACCCATCCCGAACCGACGTGTCGATCCGACTGAATTAAAATAATTTTTTTTTTATGGACACACACAAATCTTAACTCGCAGCTCAGCTTGATGATTCTATATTATAGTAAGATTCATATTGTTGGTGTTTTTAGTGTTGCACGTGAATCGAAAATGATGGGAGCATGTCTTAAGGCCAATTATTCGAATCAACAACCACTCATTTTTGTCACCCATTTTGGTCTATTTTTAGCCAACTTCTTTTCCACCATCCCACATGGGTTGAATCATTTCTTATTGGCCCATTTATTTAGCAAACAAAAGAAAATTAAATAAAAAATTATTTTTTAAAAATTAACCTTCAATAAGTAAGTGGTTTTTGCAAAAAACAAAAAAAACTTATTTAAAATAGAAGTTGATTTTAAGTGATTATTTTTAGAAATTAGGGGTGTTTGCAAATACGCTCGAAAATCAATTTAATTGGAAAAAAAAAATCCATGGATGCGCTTAAAATTACAGTTTATCTTAAAAGAAGCAGAAACAAAAGTTGATTTTGCAAATATTTACAAACTGATTACGGAGCAAAAGAAAGTTCTGAATCTATTTCTAAAAGTTTTTTTTCAAACAACACCTAATAACTGTCATTGCCCCGTCATTCGGCAATTGTTCGATGTCTTATTCGAGAAAACGAAAATTAATTTTCAATCTAACAATGGTCCCGACACGAACAAATAATCAATGGCCGATGAGTATTAAGTGAGTCAATTGAAGACGAAGACTGCTAATGGAAAACGAGAAATTTTGTCAAAAGTTGCAGTTGTAACTAATTATAGCCCCATTGAAAGAAGAACTAAAGTCTATAGCATGTGCATTTTCTCTTTTTTGTCCCTTAAAAAAAATCAAACTTTGCATTAATAATTAAATTTCAAATTTCTCAAAAAAAGAAAAATTAAATTTCAAAAAGATAGGTCCCGCCATTAATAGCGCCAAATATATTAGAGCATTCAAATTACATTTGGGCTAAAAAACAATGTTTATGTCAAATTAAGAAGAATAATAATTAATACTTCAAATACAAATACTGTGAAATCTCGATAAATTAATAACATAACTTAAATAATAATTTCTCCTGATCATGATTCGGTGGAAACGGGTTAAACTATCAGCCCGATAATTTAATATTTCGTTAATTTATAGAGGTTTAACTGTAATCGTTACTACTACATGACCAAGGTTGTTGCTTAATCTCATTTTCAATTTTTTTCAATATTTTTCTGGAACAAAATCGAAACCAGTTTTTCACTTCTAAAAGAATAATTATTTTTTTCACCGCCAAAAAATATTAATTTTGATTTGATCATCTTGTTTTATTCGAAGCAGAAGAATCTTATCATAAGTCTTTTTAAATTCAAAATCAGAACATATAAACTCCAAATGATCAAATATTCTTGGGCTGCTCTATATAATTCCCAATTATTTATTCATTATAAATATTTAAATTACTGTTTATTGCATTTGTTTGGTAATTCTTGAACCTTTAAATTTGTCTTCTCTGGATCCCCTCTTCTATTTTGTTCATTTGTTTGTTTTGTGTGTGTGTGTGTGAGAGAGAGAGATGATTTATATATAATAATAATATAAAAAGAACTTAATTTAGTATTATAAATTATAATCAACACTGCAGCATTTGCTTTCTCGTAAACCAATTACAAAAGTCCAACATAGCTCCCAATGGTTCAGGATTAGCAAGGCCGAGGTTGTACTCTGACAATATATAGTCAAAAAAGTAACAAAAGTTCAAAAATAAAAATAAAAATAAAAAAATGGTGGAAAAAAATACCCACCAAAAAAAAATTAAAAAAGAAACCCTAGTGCCCCATAAAATATTTATGTGGTCCTTGCAATAATTTTTTTCTTTCTAACTACTAGCAAAGCACATTCCCATGTTTGAACTTTATAATTTCCAACAACAAGGCCTCGTCGTCGCAAGGGTATAACGGTAATTTCGATCAACAACGGGAGCCCTTTCGGCAATTCAGGGCGCCAGAGCCGGAGGTGATTGAGCTAATTAGGGTTGAGGGCCTAGCACCGAGGCTCGACGCCTTAGCGTAGCTCGACGAAGAACGTGCTCCCGAAGGGGTAAAATAGGCACCGTTCAACATTAGGTCACCTTCGGATCTCCAATTCCAATTCTTCCATTCACTCTCGGGCGCATCTTCGTATTTGGTCACCTGCACCGAAATTCGAATTATGATCATTAAATAATGTTATTAAATATGAATAATTCTTTTTAGTTAGGGAAATTAAAGTTGGTTGTCTACTTCACAAAAGTCTTGATTGGGGGTGGTGGAAAAGTTAAATTAAAGTTGCTATATGTAATAATTTCCAACTACTCATAACTAATAATTCATTAAATAACCTATACTATAATATTTAATTTTATTTTATTTTGTTGGAGAAACATATTTATAGTAATTAAATGAAACATAATAAATTCAGCCTCACCTCTTTGCTGAATCTATCATCTGGTGCAAGAAATCTATTGCCTTGGCTATTAATGGTGGGCTCCGCACTCCCACCAATTGCATACATCTCCCAATGGGTGTAGTCATTGTTCACCACATGGAAATATCCATGTCTACATCTAAAAATCGGACAGATCACATCGGAAATTAATTTTATATATAAATAAGTCACGAATCGAAACGAAATCTTGAATTTTTTTATTTACCTCGGCATTCTTTGGACAAGTCCTTCACCAAAGTGATTGAAGGCGATAGTAACTTGCATGCCCTTATCTTGCGTGTAAGAGTCGCTATGCCCTAAGAGCATGACCTTATCGTGGTGAGTCATGTAGTTATTCGAAATGGTAATGGCGGTCGACCCGTGAATTGCGTCGATCAATCCGTCTTTGCAATTCGATAGCGACACGTGGTCCACCCATACGTGGCTCCCGCCGAAGATGGACACTCCGTCACCGTCCGATATGGTCCTCCACCCGTAGTGCCGTGGGGAGTCCCGCACCATAGCATTCCCACCTTGCTTACAATCATGCACATGAATGCCATGTATAATGATATTCGTCACGTATTGTATCGTAATGCAAGGTCCGTTAGCAATGTGTACACTCGCGCCCCTACCGTCGATGGTCTTGAACGAGTTCATTATCAACTCCTCCTTCAATTGGATGACCATGTCGCGCGCGAATATGATCCACAACGGCTCCTCTTGGATGACACCCCAACGGAGTGTTCCGGGCTTAGGGTTGACCGGGTCATCGTTGCCCGATTCGGTCACCACGTAAATTTTACCGTCTCTACCCCCGACGGCGTTTTTACCGAACCCGATCGCGCAATCTGCTAGCTTCTGACGGTTTTTCTCCCAGTTGGGGTCGCACCGCCAGCAGTCGTCGATCGGGTTGCCGGTGTTGCAGGACAGGAATCCCAATCTCCTCCTCGACTCATTCAATTTCCTGCATTAAACAAACAAAAAAATGTGACACATTGCTAGATAACTATGCTTAATGTAACTAAGACAAACAAAAAAATTTACTAAATTTGAACTTTGTTTTTGTGTAGTTGCATACCTATGAACTTCATGTACTACTAATTCAGGATCATTTAGAGTTGGAGAGAAGGCAATGAGGGAAGGGAGTAAGAGAGAGAAAATGAAGAGAGAGAGTGGGATTGAAGAAGGGAAGGCCATTGCCAAATTGTGATGAGAAAAGAGTGGGAATGGGAATGGGGTTTATAAAGGGAATCAAAAGCCGGACAAGAAGGCGTGATTTAACTAAACATGTAGGCCCCACTGCATTGGGGGCTCATTCGTGATTTACTGGTATTACGGAAAAACCACCCC